TTTTTTTAAACCCAGATCTATCCAACTTGATAGAAAATTAGGTTGAACTTTGTGCAGGTAAGTGAGTGGCCAAGTTACAGTGGGTTATATACAAATCCACTACTGTGAATAGTGTTCTGGGCTCTATTTGTGTTTTTACTGCTTTTCTCCATTCTGTGTGTAAGATCTAATATCCCCACCCACGCCACAGCCACACTCCGGTCCACTTTCATGATGGAGGCTGCCCTTCCTGGCTTTGTTTCTCAGGCTTTGCTTAGTTAGTGAGCACCTGGTGTGTGTGACAGGCGCCCCACTGGAGGCCCTGAGAAGAGTTTGCCATCCCCCTTAAATTCAACTTTAACTGTAAGTCATGAAGACATAGCATCCAGAGCCCTCCACCTCTGCCTCTGAAGCTCTTAATTTGTCTATAGACTGTATTTTAAAATCTGGCTTGTCAATAGCGTGTCTCTGTGGGAGAGATGTAGAATGACTCATCAACTTAAAACAGAATGTAGGCATACAGGTTATTTACAAACCCAGATCTTAGTTGGAAAAATTAAATAATGATGATATAATGAGCCAAAATACTAGGTATTCAAATTAAAGTACTTTAAAATGGATCATTTAAGTTTTATTTATTTCAGTAGCACGATTTATTTAAACATATGGCAGTGAGATACATCAGGGTGCAACTAAAGCAACCAATGTGTTTGCTTCTCTTGAAATACTGTAAATATGGTTTTATACTTGAAGACTGAAATGAGTATACTTTTAAAATCTAAATATTTTGTATATACTATTGCCTGAGAAGAGAGCACCTGTACGTAAGGCAGAATGACATATGTTGGCAACTTTAGGAAAGCTCATGAGATGAGGCACTTTAAATAATAAACTATTTAGTGACATTGACTCTTATATTTGATGACTTAATTATCCATAATTTTAGTAACATACTTTCATCATAACACTGTAAATATATACCATGTGACATAATATAATTTAAATGTAATATTATACAGACTACATTTTAAATATGCTTTATATTCCCATTTTATGTATGGCCTATTGAATTTCTCAGATGCCTATCTCATCCTTCACTTTGTATTTTTGTTTTTGTAATTTGTTAAGAGGTGGGATGTTTGTGTTTTGTTTAGGAAGAATCCAGCTTCCATTGGAAGGAAAGTCCTGTTACCAGGAATACTTGTGTTGGGTTTTTCAGTATATCCAGGCTCATGTACTTCCAAATTATTTCAGACTTCAGGATGTCATTTGCAAGATTTATTTCTAGTCTCACAAAGTATGAGAAAGAAAATTGGTTAAAAGTACCACACTGCCAATGGCACTCAGAAACGGGCTTCATTTTAAAGCCCTTTTCTGTTGGCCCTGGAGAGAGCGACTCCTTTGAAAACACATGCCAAGATGCCACTCTGAATTCTGTGGGGTCTGTTCATGTGGCTCTAGGAATTATGATCTCCTCAACTCCCTAAGCCATTGTTTTAACATCTATTGTTTGGAACCTAGATTATAAAAGTGGATTGTAGGATTTGAAAATACTTGTAAAATACAAACAGAAAATAAAAATAGAATCCCATTCCTACACTGAAATCCTTCATGGTGGCTGTGGCATTGGCATGACCTGTCATCACGTTTGTTACATTCAGAATCATTAAACGTCCTTTTAAAGGTAGCATTAGGCAGTTCTGGGAGCGTGGATAGAAAATAGACCCAAATCTAACCAGAGTTAATTTATACAATCTTATCAATTAGTGCTTTGCCCACTGACACCAAACACTGATTCAGCTTAATTATTTCATTCTAAAAACATGTGGACTCTGAGTCTCTTAGACATGTTTTTAAACTCCCCCCAACACACACACACACACACACACACACACACACACACACACACACACACACACATACTATCAGGAGTCTGTACTGAGTAAGGCTTTATCTATATAAGGACAGAGGGCTTTGGTGATGACTCTCTCTGGTACCTATTTAGGATTGAAAATTGCTTTGTACTTTGATATTATAAGTAACAGTATTTGAAGTAGTATGTTTATAAACAAAATTGGAACATCTGGTGATACACTGGTTTCATTCTTTATTAAGAGAATAGTAGAATATGTTGACAAATGTGGTGAAGTAAGTGAGCTATCCACACATTGCCTTTATATTTCTAACTCAGGAATACAGAACTTCATATATTAATTTTCACTGATGATTCACAAATCTATGTAAAATTTCAATATGCTACTAATATTACTATTTCATTTTTAAAATGGCTATACTAAATTCTTTAAATTATATGTATGCCATATCCATAAAATGTCACTGATTCCTGTTCCTCTGATTGTCTTGTTAATGTAATAATAGAAATCCAACTTAAAAAGCATTAGAAGAAAATATATTTCTATTTTATGTAGTGTCTAGTCAGTCTTCCATTTAAAACACCTGTAATTTTAAACTATCCCCCATTGGAAGGGCAGTGGTGTTGCACACCTTTAATCCCAGTACTTGGGAGGATCTCTGTGAGTTTGAAGCTAGCCTGGTCTACAAAGTGAGTTCTAGGACAGCTAAGGCTATACAGAAAAACCCTGTCTTGGAAAAACAAATCCTCTTAAATATCCCCCATCTTTCATGACTCGTTGCTTTTATTTTATATCAACAATGGAATAAAATATGCTATTTTCTGCTAGTAAAACAAAATAAATAAGTTTCAAGTTTCACCTGGTTGAGAAAACAGTGATCTCAATCAACACAAATGCAGGGAATTGTTCATCTGTGACGTGGACTTTGCGTGTGTACTGACCCAGTCCTTGTCCCCAGAACAATGCCTCCAAGCTTTTGCTGGCCATTATGGAGAGCAGACATGACAGCGAGAACGCAGAGAGAATTCTCTTCAACATGAGACCCAAGGAACTGGTAAGAGCACTTGCCCAGGCTGTCTGTTAGGGTAGCATCTCCCGCTGCTCCAGCAGGGCTGGCCGGAGCACCATGGCCTGTACTGGGCAGGGTGGCGAAGGCTGTGTGACTCAGGCCTGTGGATTCACTAGGTTTTATTTTGGAATTATTTTTCTGTTTTTATTTATGTGTGTGTGTGTCCATGTGTCTGTATGTCACATACGTTCTAGCGCCCTTGGAGGCCAGGAAAGAGTGTCAGGTCCCCAGGAGCCAAAGTTACAGGCTCTTGCAAGTGCCTGGACGGGGTTACTGGGAACCGACCTGGGGTCCTCTGCAAGAGCAGGAAGCACATTTAACCCTGATTCATCACTCCAGCCTGATTTTGCTAGTTTTATGTAACATGAATGTTAAAAGGTCTTATTAATTAAAACAAAACAAAACAAAAACAAAAAAAAACCTTGGTACCAGATATTGGGGTGAAAGCTGAAAGATCAGAGAAGCAGAGCAAGCCACAGCCACCACCTCCTACCTCACTAACTCCTCAGCCTGAAAGAGCCCCAGCCGAAAGAGCTTCTTCAGCTGAAAAGGCTTCTAGCTCCTGTCTTCTCATGCCTTACATACCTTTCTCCACCCTCCATTAAAGGCATGTGTGCTTCCCAAGCAAAGGCATGAGATCTCAAGTGCTGGGATTAAAGGCATGTGATTCCCAAGTACTAGAATTAAAGGTGTGTGCCACCACTGCCTGGCTCTGTTTCTCTCCTAGACTGAGCCAATCTTATATAGTCCAGGGTGGCTTTGAACTCACAGAGATCCAGATGGATCTCTGCCTCTGGAATGCTAAGATTAAAGGTATGTGCCACCACTACCTGGCCTCTATGTTTAATCTAGTGGCTTGTTCTGTTCTCTGACCTTCAGACAAATTTTATTAGGGTACACAACATATCACCATAGTTTTATCCACTTTAAGCACTTCTCTTAGCTAAATTTCCACACTCTACTTAACTATATACAAATGCCTTTTGTCTCCACCCCCCCCAACCAAAAAAAAAAAAAAAAGAATTATCTTGGTGTTAGTTTAATGATTTCTGGGTATAGTTGGCTGTTAATATTAGTGGGCTCAGTCCTATAGATTCACAATCTGTGGGTCGAAAGCATTCTTAAAAAGCACACTGTACCAACACCTACAGATGCTCATTTTTTACTTTTTTCCTATCAATGCAATGATTCACATAATGTTTACATTACATTACATATTGTAAGCAACCTGGAGATGATTTTGAGTATACAGGAGGGTGTGTATAGGTGCATAGTTTACCTGCAGATTGCTCTAGTTTACAGCAGGACTTGAGTATCCACAGATCTTGGAATCCTCAGAAGGTACTGAAGTCAGTTCCCCAGGGACACCCAGGAATGACTGTATATAAGGAAGGTCTGAGGAGCGTGTTTATCACACCCCCAAGTTTTGTTTGTACTTTTCCAAAAACACAGATAAATTTTGTTTGTGTGTTTTGTGAATCATTCTTATGAATGAACTGTCACATAATGCCTAGCCTCAGAGAAAGAGGGAGACATGATCATTACTTCATGGGGTGCAAATTGAAAGCTCTATTCCCTTCTGGCATGCAAACTATGATGTCATTGAGGCGTGCTTTAAAAGTAATGGGTGCCAGATTCCCAGAGAGCATGCTCAACCATACTGCTCAGTGCTCCCATGACAAAGTCCTCTCAGACCAGTGATGTTGCTGGTGCTGCAGGGAAGTCCTGTGGAGGCTGGTGCCACTGTCACTGTGAAGAAGGGTAGGTGGAGACAGAAAATGTGCGGTTTGGCATCACATTATTTAGTGAAAGCCTCGTCTCTACAGCAGGAGAGTAAGAAGTCTATGAAGCCTTGTCCTCTGGTTATGTGGGGTACTGGTTACTTGTTTGTTTGACAAAGCACCGTGCCCTCACTTTGAAAAGAGGCTCCTTTGTCACCAGCACCCCGTTCTGTCCTTTGCTCCCTCCTTCATGATCTGCCCTCAAACTGAGTGAGATGCCCGCCAGACCTGTCATAGGAACCGTGCACTGCTGACCCCTGGGGGATGGTGCAGCCCTGAGCAGAGATGGTCGGTCTCCTTGTCCACTGTGGTTCTTCTGTGCCCAGTGCTGGGACCAGCACCCTGTCTCCAGCTCCCTCTTAAATACTCAACAAATAGTGGATGTTTCTCAGGATTCCAAATTCTCTTAAATCATGGAGAGTTCAGAGTACTAGTGTTCAAAGAAACAGAAGTGTTGAAGGTGAACAGAAACATTGTCACAATGTGATTCCATGTTCATTGAAATAACTGTGGCTTTCAAGAATATTTTTAAAGTTATTTTCTGTTGGTATACATTGTTAGTTTTATAATGGCATTTTTGCACAAATAAGTTGTACTAGTTGGATTTCTCCTGCTGTGACAAAACACTGACCAAAAGTCACTTGGGGAGAAAAGGGTTTATTTGGCTCACACTTCCAGGTCAGTCCATCATGAGGGAAGTCAGAGGACAGAGGACAGGACCCACAGAGGACAGCTGCTGGCTGGCTGTGCCCAGGGTCAATTCATTTTCCTCTTACACAGCCTAGGCCAGACCTGCTTAGGGATGTTACAGGCCACAGTGGGCCGGGCCTTCCACATCAATCTGCAATCAAGAAAGCCCGCCCTCCACAGGCCAATCTGAGGGAGGCAGTCTCCCAATTGACACTCCCTCAGATGACTCTAGGCTGTGCCTAGTTGGCAGCGGAAGCTAAGAGATAAGCCATTACACTTGTTTCTCCTTAATCCCCTCCACATTGTCCACCCATCTGCCCCCTTTGTCGGTCCCTTCCTTACCTCAGATACCTGCAGCTTTCATTTCACGTCTTCCGTCACCCTGTGGTACCCACTTCCCCCTTCTGCTCGCTCGCTCTCTCCTCACAGTCCCCTGTCTACCTTCACACCCTACAGATAGGCACACATTGAAATCTAGAGTCTGCGTAGGAGAGAAAATGCAGTATTTGTTTATTTAGAGCTTTCACATTTGGGGCTGCCATGAAGCTTCCCAGTTTGAAGTTATCGCTCACAAACAATTTGATGTGTTGCTGCCACCTCTCAGACCCTGTTCTCACTATTTATTCATTATTTATTGCTAGGTGGATGTGATGAAGAATGCCTATAACCAAGGACTGGAATGTGACCACGGGGACGAGGAGGGAGGGGATGACGGTGTTTCTCCAAAGGACGTTGGACACAACATCTACATTCTGGCCCATCAGGTGCCACATTTTTATCTACATGTATCTTGCTTACCCGGTCCTGTGTCTTATGCTGGTGGCTGATTACTATATTTTTACTGTCTGATGTTCTTATTTACTCAGTACCCGCCCTCCTTAGAGAAAACAGTAAGTCCTCAGAATGCCTGATTATGCAATTCAGGGTCCTCTAGAGAGCCACTGACAAGAAAAAGAGGCTTGGGAGAAAACTTCTGGGCCTGGAAGAAGTAGGCGCCTCACACCAGAGCCTCAGGAGAGGGAAGACAGGCTGCTGAGGAGGCAGGGTGTGAAGAAGTGGGGAGGGATATTCTACAACTCAGCCAGGACTATTCCAGAGAGCGTGCTGGCCTTCAGTCACAGATTGACAGGTTTTTAATAAAGGCCATTGGGTTTGCACCTCCAAGCGCTCCCACCGGATTTCCGCCATCTATAAGCTAAGTCTGAAATTTCTTCAGTGATATGTCCATTTCATTGCTTGTAAGTACCAATATTTGATAAGCTCAATTCCACGAACACGGTCAAATTTAAACGCACATCACCTAACACAGATAGGTTTAAAATGTAAAACTTGAAATGTGCACATGCTGACTTGATTTTTGTTGCCAGTGGCCCCATTATTTTGAAAGGATAAAGTTCAGGCTTTGAAAATATCTCAAGCTTCCCGCCACTTCCTCGCCTCTCCTGTCTGCTTCTCCATTCATCTTATCTGTTGATTAAATAAATATTGGTCAATGGAAGGTCAGGTTCTGAGTAGATTTAGTTTTAAAGGTTGCTCTTTGGACATTTCCTGGGCCCTTCTACCTTCATACGACCATCTACTGGATATATAAACTTGAATAATGTTTTTTTTGGTCTTCAAGGAAGGAATCCAATTGAAAAGGCTCCAACCCGGGTTGCTGCGCTTTTGTGATGTAGTGAACACCTTGAGAGTTGCAGGATTCTCACAGTCTGTCAGTTCACAGGGTGAGGGTGGCCGAGTTACAGCCGCGAGACGGAAAGGCATTTTAGGCACTGAGGAACCAAAAGCCAAGTCAGAGACAAGTGAAGGAAGTGGAAAGACAGATTCAGGATGTGGGCAAGTCCCATTTTAGAGAAAGAAAAGTCAGGTGGCAGAAGTTGATTCAAGCTAGAAAAAAAAAGAATGAGTAAGAATGAACTTGAATGTGAACAGAAAGAAATAATTCCCAGGCTGAGAAAATCTATGGCGTACCAGAGGAACACAGTGACATAGTGTGTGTCTGAGGCAAAGGGTTGCCTCAGAGGCTATGACACCTTGGGGGAGGGGCAGGCAGAGAAGATCAGCACAGAGCAAGCAGCAGTGGTCCTTTCTAACAGGAACAGAGCCGCCTGCATATTCTTCACTGGAAGCTGGTCTTTCCCTGTTGATGAAGGCTGTCCCCTCAGCACGGGTGAGCAGCTGCATGCATCCAGCCTGGCCCTGTACGTATCTCGTGGGACAGGAACCCACCACAGCCAGGCTAAACGGGCTGAGAACCAACAGAATTGCAGGTGTTTGAGCCAGATCAACCGCCGTACCCTTGAAGTCTCAAGACACTAGCAAGAGAGTGGACAACCCGGACATCAAGATTTATGTCAGTTCGGTTCTGCTTTAGTGGATGAAGCCTAGAGTAGAGAACGCAGATTCAAGAGCTGGTCTTAGGGTGACGGAGGATACACAACTGAACAGAAGCAAAGGGGCAAATGGACAGCAGGAGAACCAAAGCCAGTGTAAAGGTCACTGACGTTGATGGATTCGGAGAACACATCTGTTCTTGGAGAGAACAGAAGCGGTCAAAGACGGAAGGGCAGAAATTCAAGCAGTCAAAGGGTGATCAGGGGCCAGAACAGCTGCAGAGAGGAAGCGGGGAAGCAACAGATGTGGAAATGGCTGGGGTCCTGAGGAGGGCTTGTAGAGGACTTCCTCCTGTAGTTTGCCGAGCAGTGAGGATATGCTGTGTAGCTGTGAAAGGAAGCCAGACTTCCGGAGGGAGAAGGCCCAGGCTGAGGAAGGGAGGAAGTGGGTTCTGAACTGCCCAACGCATTAGCCTTGTGATTTATCTGAGTGCAAACAGGTCCCTTTTAGAAATGAGAGAGGTTGTAGGAGCAGTTCTGATTCTGGGGTGTGTGTAACTGATGGTACAGCCATCTGTTTCTTCCCTATAGTGATACAAGAAATTGTTCCCTTGTCAGCATGGGTCGTTTCCTTATGGAATTAATTATGCCACTAGTTTCCCTTGAGACAGACGTTGGCAATTTTCGCCCACATTGGGCCCTTTTGGTTCTTCCATGTGTGGGTCCCATGGCTGGCTCTAGGCTGGGATGCTGTTTGGTTTCTTGGCCAGCTGTGTTCCCTGTGAACCTACTGTGCAAACAGCTCCTGCATTGAGGTACACATGAAATGAGTAGAAGATGGCCAGCTGTTCCTCAGAAGGGGAGCAGTCTGAGGTGGGAGAGCACTCAGGCAGCTGATGACCTTGCAGATTCGAGTCTGCCTCTGCACAGCCCAGTCATCTGAGCACCAGGCTGCAGCTTCCTGCTCCCTCACTCTCGTCCTCTTTTCTGCAGACGGTTTATTTTGGTGCTCTCAGACTTTCGGTTTTTGTTGTTAATGCTTTTCATGGCAGGGACATGGTTCTGCTTTTCCACAATGACATCCCTCTGGGCCCTTCTTGTGGTCAGTGTTACAAGAAACAAATAATGCTTCTTGTAAGTGTCTTGTCTAATCTACATAAAACTATTAATACATCACACAGGGAAATTCTTCAGCTTTGATTCTGCGGTGCTGTGCTGTGAGTTCCCTACCGCTCAGCAGCACATCCTGGCTTCTGCCCTCCCTGTCTTTAGGTCTCTTCTGTGCCCTGGTCTTGCTGCCTCATCATCTGTTTCCTCCCCATCCCTTCTCTGTTTCGGGTTTCGTTTGAAGCAGTTACCACCCTCCATATGCTACATGTCTCACCCCTTCATAGATGCTCATCATGTGTTAATCTCCATCACCTCTTAGCTCCATCAAGCAATTTGTTTGTCGTGGTCTGAGTCTCCTCATTTGACTCCTACCTGAAATAAGATGTATACAGAGAGGGCAGGGCATCATGGCTCAGTGCCTTTACAATCCCAGAACTTAGGAGACTGAGGCAGGAGGACGGCTGTGAGTTCCGGGCCAGCCTAGGTGCCAGCATGAGACCCTATCTCAAAACACAAAATAACAGAACAAAATAAAAGAAATAAAGGGAGAAATGTTAGATGCTTTGTGAGCAGGAAAATGCATTAACTAGAAAGTCAGTGGAAAGTCAGAATATTGGTCACTCTAATTAGTTACATGAAAATCTTGTAAAATGCAAACTTTAAATGTTTTCATGAGCATTTTCCTGAATCAATAAATGGCCTTTGAACATGTAATTTTAATGTCTGCATAATTAGGCATCACTTGAATGTTCTGTAATTTATTTAATCACTCCTCATTGTTAAGTGTTTAGGTTTCTAATATATTTGATATTATAAATTATGCTGTGATTAACACCCACACACATTAATCTTTGTCCGCTGTGCTGATAGTTTTCCTAGGGTAAATTTCAAGAAGTTTAATTACTGGGCTGCAAGAACTACTTCGTGGCTCTTGATACACATTGCAAAATTACTTTTCCCAGTGTCTGATGGCACTTACGCTGTTGAACACTAAAGTCAGTGTCATTTGAAGAAAAGTCTTTGCTGACTGATGGTGTCTGGGACACAGCCCTCAGCCCACAGGCTGGTGTGTGAGGTGAAAATAGAGATCTCATGTGTAGTCACTTCCTTTGTAGAGGTTCCCAACCTTCCTAATGCTGCGACCGTTTACTACAGTTCCTCATGTTGTGGTGACCCCAACCATAAAATCATTTTCATTGCTACTTCATAACTGTCGTTTTTCTACAGTTATGAACTGTAATGTAAATATCTGTGTTTCCGATGATCTTAGGTGACCCCTGTGAAAGGGTCATTTGACTCCCAAAGGGGTCGTGACCCACAGGTTGAGAGCTGCTGCTTTAAGGAGCTTCTAAAATGGACCATCTGTCTGTGCGTTCTTTGACCATTTGTGTTCCTCCTGTGAATTAGTTGAAGGTATATTTATCTTTTATCAGATCTCCTTTGTCTTATAGACTCTTAATTAAGGATCATAGCCATTCATTTATCATATTGATCATATCTATTTTCCAATTTATTGGCCTTTGGTGTTTTAGTATCCTTTTTGTCTGTCACTTTAATTCTGTTAGACACTCCCCTGGGGTTTCTTTGAGCACATAATGAATTCAACATTTGCATTTAATCATGTAATTCTTTACTGTCATCTTACATGGATGATAAGATGTTTTTCTTGATCTTTAATTTTTAAAAATAAGGTCTCACTACATATCTCTGGCTGGTTTGGGGCTTGTCTTCCTGCCTAAGGTTTCCAGTTGCTTGGATCACGGGTGTGACCCAGCATCCTGAGCTGAGATGGTCGGTTCTAGTTCTAACTCATCTCAGAAGGCCCATTCTGAGTTTTGATCTAGAGTTTGTGGTAGCTCTGTGCAGGAATGTAGAGAGTGGAAGCTTCTGGAGAAGAGATCAAGGCCAGAATCCTGACCAGCCTGAGGCTCACATGTGTGTGAATGAACTGGTTCAGGGCAGGTGTGGGGGTAGGGGGTGGTCTGACACTCCTCTCTGGAGCAAGAAGCTGGTGTGCACCTCTGCCAGCTCAACAGTTGGGGTCCAGGCCTGATAGTCTAACTCCTTCCGGCACTTCAAAACAAGCCTGAATTTGTAATTTTTTTTTAAATTGTGAAAACTAATCTTTAAAAGTTGGCAACTCATTTTAAAAAATGTAAAGACATGGAGCAGCCAACAAAGCTGAAAGCAGCCAGGAGCCATAGCTCACCACAGGTAGAACCTAGGACCCACAGTCCTCATTCTGAGTTGTGTAGCTGGAGTGAAGCTGTCTGGCTGCCAGGCACCTTGACACCCTCTCACAGTGCAGTAGTGATGACAGG